TGTCTGTCTCTCTTCCTCCCTCCCTCTCTCCTGTCTAAATAATGTGAATATTGTACTGATTTTAATGAATGTTGGATGTGAAAAGGGATTTTAGGAGACTGGAAGTGTAACTGTTTGTCCCCTGCTCTGTATTATATTTTGCCCTTTCCTAATATTTATTTAACTAAGGCTAGTTAAATTCAGGGTATGGTTTCTCTATGTAATGAAGGTCAGATAAGTTCTTTTATCTGTCTAAAGCTCTTTTGTATTGACAGTGATTTTTAAAAATTAGGAATATGTATTGCTGTTTGAACCTCCTGTAAAATATATATTGCTGTTATGAAGTGAAGGTGTATTGTTTTTGCTAATGTTTCTTATGGGAATACCTATCCTGTATGAAACTATAGAAGTCTTTTTCTATGTTGTTGAGAATATGTAGCACAGTAGAAGTAAGTACAACTTTTAAAAAACATCTTTTTTTCTTTTTCTTCCACATATTCTTTTTAGCTGGTGACTGTGAGATTCCAGGTACAGTATTTTTGCAAGAATTTATTAGAGATAAGGTTGTTAATTAAAGGTGTTAGGTTTGTTTTTTTTAGAATTAGATGTGTCTCCTGTTACAAAGTCCTAATTTACCACTTTGCTGTGGAGTAGTGCATTCTTGCACGTGAAAAATGGTGGTTGAAATGTGTTTTCTGTTTTGATTAGTTGTATATTGCACCAGTTGTTTTTTTTTTAAATTAAAAGGAGAGTAGTCATTTTATTATCCATTTCAGGTAAAATTGTTATCAGCTGTAGTTCAGAAAAAGAAATTATTCTTAAAGCTAGAGACTGAATGTAAAAAAAAATGTATTGTTCCATAGTGGAAAATCAATGAAATGTACATGATTCTGGCCATGTTATTCTGAGAAAAGATCTTAGTTATTTAACTGTTTTGCAGAGCATCAGTTTCCTTTTTTCTTCAGAGTCATTTTTATTTTTAAAATGTGTGTGATTGTTCTAATCCATGTATTTCAGGAGGATGTCTCTTTATGGCTGCAACACATAGATTTCAGCAAGGCTTTGGTGAGTTGTTTCTTCTATTGCCAAGTATTTAACTGTTTTACTCACTAAATTGTTGGCTATAGACTTGATCTTATCCCTGTAAAGGTACAATCTATTTAGAAAAAAACAAAACATCCCATGTCTCGTTTTTATTATTGCTCTGACTGGCCATATTGATTGTACTGTGTAGATCAAAGATGTTTTTTTTTTTCCTGAGGGCTATTGAAGTGGGCTTCGTATGATTCTGTTATTGGTAATATTGTAAAGGTATTTTTTTTTGGTCTTATTAAGATACATGATACTCATCCTTGGGAGAAAATAAGATGGGCCTTTTTTTTGGATAAAGTGTCTGTTATTTTTGTAATTTTTCTTGTATTTTTATACTGTAAAAACATTGTCTGTTTTCTTGAAATTCTCATTTCCTTATGCTAACATTCATTTTTCCAGAATGAAAAGGCTTATGTGACTCGTCTGTATGAAAAAGTCTTGAAGATTCATTCCCATAATGAAGGTAAGTTTTGTGTATTTTTTAGATGAAGGGTATACGTTTTGTGGCTCTTTAATCTTTCCTAGCATTTCTTTTATTTTTGTGTTTTAGTATAGGTTTTGAGGCGCTCGCAACTGCATAAGGTCATATTATGAGGGCCAGAAGATTAGAGGTGTTTCAAGAGAGTAACATTACAAACATAAAAAAGAAGGGGAGATAAGGACGATAGATGTTTCATAGGAAAGAAGAAGCAAACCACTCCAGAGCACCCGTCAGCCACCCACATTTCTTTTATCATGATTTAGAGATTACATGATTGTTGTAAGAAGTTGGACAGTAAAAGCTGTATTCCTTATTTGACATAACGTGACAGTTGTTGAGTTTTGATTTAAGGAGTTAGTAATTTAAAATGTACGGGTCATTGGCTTTTCGGTGTCATTGTTCCTTTGTTCTTGTTATGTGAAAGATAAAGTTTTAACTGTATTTGACGTCTTGGTTAGAAGTGAGAAATCACTTGTAAAAGAATTTGTAATATTGTGAGCTTAGTGGTTTTATTTTAGACTTTGGTCTTAAAATGGAAATTATTTGTAGACTTGAAACGTCTCTCTTCGGATAAATTTAAATGTAAAGATGTGTTGTTGTTGGGTTTTTTAAAAATTGTTTGTTTGTTGATTTTTTTCTTGAATAGATCTTTGGGTCCTAATTTTTTATAAAGTAAGTTGTCCTAAAACATTTCTTTACTGATAGATATATATGTGTAAAGACAATTTAAAAAAAAATTAAAATCCTGGAACAGATGTTTGGGTCCAGTCTGCGAGATGGGAGAGCTCCACAGATGGCAACGGTAATCATGAACTTGCTCGGGAGATTCTGCTGAAGGCCCATCGAGTCAACCCTGAATCACAGACCATCTTCCTGGAGGTGCGTGTTTTCGCTTCGTTATGTTTTGTGTGTGTGTCCCATCGGTTTTGGTGAACGTCGTACTCCTGTCATTGTAGTAACCAATTCAGTTTTGACACAGTGGCCTGGCCAGGTTTACTAAAAATTGACCACTGGTAGTCCATAGTCTAGGGCCTGTCCTTGAAAATATCTTTAAGTATCTTAAGACATATTACACACTGCCCATTAATATTCATAAATAGTTACGGATTTTCTTGTTAGTTTTTTTGGTTTATTTTTTTGAGAGAGCATGGGTTGCTTAAGGTTTGTTCTGGGTTTGATAGAGACAAATTCATAATAATGTTTTGACAAGAGTAAAATTTTAAAGTCTGATGATTGTGCTTTTCTTTTCCTAAGCAATACATGATCATTGTATTGTAAATACGCTTACTAAAAAAATACTTGTAGCAGTAATATTTAGAATGTTGTGAAAGTGTAGACCCTGCCTGTACTGTGTGCATGCATGTCATGACACATCCGTGAGATAATGAAGATTGATTTATTTTCAGTTGTTTAAATATATGATCTTGTCATCAGAATAACTTACGGTGTATTTTTTCACTTGGAAATTATTTTTTTTTAATGATTTGAAATTTTCTCTTTAAAATTCCTCAGATGTATCACATGGAGCTACAACTGGCAAAGCAGATAATCAAGAGAAAGTCTGTGCTTGGCCTTCCCTCCAACATGGAGGTGTGTAAGAATGTGTCACGTTGTCATCACTCTGATTGTAAAGGGCATAGATCTTGCTGTTGAGTGAGAATTTGTGCTATATAAATGCTGTCTTCTATTATTATTATCATTATGATAATAAGAAGAATACTATTAATTACTATTATTATTGCTATCATAATTGTCATAATTCCTACATATTGTGTACCTGAAGAAGCCCTATGGGTGAAATATTGAACATATTTGTAATCTACAATAAATTTGTTGAAATTCTATCCAAGTCTTTACTTCTTTTTACACTCTTCAACAATGAACCTGGATAAACTGGCAATGTTCATGTGGGTCAATCCACTTAAAGAAAAGTCATGCAGCTTTCTAGTGTGCCATACGTATAGTTGCCCCATCTTCTCTTTTTTTGACATTTAAAAAATTCTCCATAATTTGCTGTGCCAGGGTCCAAAGGAAGACAATGGTGCAGAGGAAGACAAGACAGCTGAGCTGAAGCTTGCTGAAATTGTGTACAGCAAAGGATTGGAGTTGTTCCGTGGTTTGTGGAATTTTATTAAATTAATTCATTTTTTTAAGTTTAAGGATTAATCAGTGAAGTTGTCTCTAATAAAATATGCAGGTTTTAATTTTTGTTGTTGCTAAATCAGTGGTTTCATAATGTTACAGATAATTCCTTATTAATTTATATCCTTCTGTTCTTCTTTTTCCTGCCATGTCTTGCAATTTATAATCACCCGAGAATCTTTTCTTTAAAAAACTAACACAAACTCAAATCAAGACACAAATTAAAGATTAAATTATGTCGATATTGCCTGACATTAGATGCACTAAGTTAAGATATGGCAAGGTATTAATATTTGTCTATATTTATTATATTTTGCTTTTTATGAGGGGATGGGGGTGAATATTTGGTGTTGGAAGGGGGGGTGGAGGTCGTCGTGAAGCAAGAGGTTGGATGATATTGACGTTTTATCCTTGCGCTGGAATTTTTCTCAAATACCAGAACCGTCTACAATAGTGCTGCCTGTTCACTAAATGTCTAAATAGTTTGCGAGTGTGTTAATGTAATGACTATGATATGTTTTGTCCAGGTTTGGCTGACTTTCACATGAAGATGCTCAGCATTACCTCCAAGTTCAAAGAGGCGAGGAAGCTGCAGGCTGTCATCGTGGCTGAGTAAGTTTTGAGCTTTGACATTGAAGTTTATGGATATTTTATAATGTCTTTAAATTATAGTTACCCTCTATTTATACATTATATTATGATGAAAAGAGAAAATCACGGCAGTAGGAAGCTTTGAGTGTCCTTTTGTTTTATACCGTCAAGTTTCATTACGTTACAGGTTTTGAATTTTACTGTAAAAATTACTGAGTAATAGGAGATAGAGCTTTTCAACTTCTTTTTGGTAGCTTCTTTGGGAAAGTTCAAATGTACCCCTGTTTTTCTACTCTGAGAGAAGGTTGTTGGTTTTTTTTTTCATTCTGTATTATAAAGTCTTAGTGCAGTGTGTGGAAAAGGAAGCAAGTGGTAAATTAAAAATTAGAGAGGGTTTAAGCTTTGTTTGTATATATTTTTATTGGAGGAAAAGAAAGGGGACTGGTATTCTAAGATTTCATTATTTTTCTGTCATGGAGCTTTGAAATTTAGACTTTCCCTTGGAATCTTTTTTAACTAAATGCATTTCTTTTTATAGAGCAGCTTCACAGATGTTATTACAGTAACGCATGTCTATGCAGTGCTATTTATATTGCATCATATCTCATATTTTTAAAGATTTTACACTCCTGGTGTAATTTTGCTGTAGCATTCTTTTTGTTTCATAAAAAAAAAAAAATAGAATTAGAGTTGAAACTGAGTATTGATTCTTTTTGGTTGTTGTTCATTTTTCTCCTACAGCTTACAGAGACTGTACCCAACTAATCCCTATGTGTGGAACGGTTTGGCTCTGAGACACTTGAATTCTTTGAAGAAGATTGGAGCTGGTAAGTGGCTTGCGGAGTTGCAAATAGACCTCCCTCTTATTGCGTAAAAGCTTTAGATCGTAACAATGAAGATGAGGGAATGTAGTAGCAATGTCCATAATTTGACCTTAAATTGTATGTTTTTAAATGTAAAACAAAACGTAAATGATTCAGGTGGTAAGACTGTTTTTAGATGGTTTATTGGAGATGGGCTGAAGGATGTCAGGACTGACATTTTTATTTTAGGAAAATAGACTGGTACTGTGTACATTTGACATCTCTGGAGAAACAAAGTACAGTTGTACCTGTTCGAGGTGACCATCCGTTATTGAGGAGAAACGTGGTTATCAAGGACAGTGTCAGTAGAATGTAGAGAGAGCTCATTAAAGGGGGGGGGGGGGGTGAGATGTGGTTGTTTGTACTGGTGGTTTGATTTAAACACGTGGTTGTTACGGCAGGTTTGACTGTAGTGACATGTTTTTAAGCACAATTTGGATTATTTAAACCTTTCTGAATATCTGAAGTCTTGTCAGGGTTTCTAAATTAAAGCTTTGTGTACTCATGTAATTTCTTAGGTCAAGACGATTTGTTCACAGCTTAGTCTATACTGATAGTGTTACAAAACTTGAGCATTAACATCCTCTTGCAATTTGACACTGTTTTCATCATAATCAATGTTGTTTTTGAGTAAAGTTTCCTCTTCCAATGGGTTGTTCTTGATATCTGACAACAGAACAGAGGAAAGTAGCTGTGGCGCAGTGTTTGAAAGTCTACGATGAAGCGGTGGAGAAGGTGCCCACTGGTGAGTCTTGCTCTTATACCATGCCTTGGGCACAAACCAACCAACTAATGCTGATACTGTAAATTTTACTGCTCGAGAATTTTGTACATTTGTAATTTGTCCCATCTTACGGTTATGGTTTTAATCTGACAGATAATTTGGTCATTTGATGTTTTCGTAATATTATATTTGTGTTGGTTCTAATGTCAGGATATTTTCAGAATTGATGGAAAATGCTTTCAACTCCTAGCTGTCAGCTTTTTCATATTAGTCTGAATCTGGCGTTTAAATGGTTTGTGGCCTTGGTGATTTTTATTTCACGTACGTGTTGTCTTGCTTCAACTCTGCCAAAAACGATTTGGAGTGCACTTATTTTTGCCTCCAAGCCCGCGAGGCACATCTTACTTTCTATAGTTTTTGATTTGGAATGATCAGATGAAATTTGCTGAGATTGTTTTCTGAAAATGAAGGACTTGTCCTTGGTTTGGGAAACATTGTTCTGAAATTTCTCGGAAAAGCCCCTGTTAACACCTTTGGGACCGGCCCCAAACCAGCTGATCCTATCCCCAGGACAGGAGCCGCTGCCCGTATCCCTTATAAATGCTCATTTCAAAGACATTTTTTCACTTCCAATCAACTCAAACTGGCTTCAATTTCGGTGAATTTGAAAAGGAAAAATCTTTTTTGTGCTTGAACATACTGACGGAAAACGTGGACAATTTTGAATAGACTGGCTTGAATGAGTGGTATTGTCATCACGTAAATACATGACTGCGGTCCAATTTGATCTTGTGCAGTTCGCGTATAAGTACGTTGGAAGTCCTGAAGGTGTTAACACTTGCCTCAGAAAATCACCTCCTGTCTCCGAGAAAGCATCAGATTGTTGCTGCTTCTGGCTCTTCATTTTTTTACGTGCTCTTTTCCCCTGTTTTCTTTGAGTTTAATTTATGCTTGTTGATGTTTGTTAGTGTTTTTCCGACGATAGTTTATAGCAGATGCTCTTCGGAACTATCTGTCAGATGTTTTTTAAGTTTGCTTTGGGATTCTTGTGTTATACCTTGCTTTCCTTTCCAGTTCTATTTGGAAGAAAGTTTCATGAGAGAATTAACAGGGGTTTTTTTCTCAGAAAATCATCAAAGTGATTGTTTTCTCTTTCGGATCTTGAAACAGTCTCTGTGGTGTGTATCTGAAATCGAGTGAAATAATACCACCCTGTCTGGGAATATTTTTTTCATTGGAGATACTGCTGTACCTGTGTCTCTGCTTCGATTCTGTGCTAGTAATTTATGTAGCGTCAGTATTCCATCCCACACCTCGATGGATTTGTTACAAAACTAAATTGTTCTGAATAATGTATAGAACGTGCGTGGGTGTTTTGTTGAAAGAATACCGAGGTCCACATTTATCGCTGACGTGGAAGGGAACACGAGTGAAGGGGCATAATTGATGAAAAAGAAAAACAAAAAATAAAGTTATCTCCCTTCGAGTGCACATCCTCAAATCTGCAGTACGTTAATTGAACTTTCGTGCGCTTGATCTGGGTATTATTTCCTCCCCTCCCTCCCCCCCTCTATTTTTGATCATGACTGTCTTTTTATTTACATGCACTGATGTTTTTTCCTTGGAAGCAACCGAAAAAGAAGGGAGACATTTTGAATTTATCAGGCAGTTTAAATTATAATATCATCAGTTTATAAACTCCATTGTGAATACAGCTTATTCGCACACACACACACACACACACATAAACACACACACACACACATACACTCACATACACACACACACATAAACACACACACACACATACATACACTCACATACACACACACACACACATAAACACACACACACTCACATACACACACTCTCATAAAGTCCCAGGACTGGGGCCCCACTCATGTGTATGTAAAAGATATTGCTCGCCGTTACAGGGAACATTATAACATCCCGCCATCGGCGAACCTCTCGTTTGTGGGTGGTTGGCGGGTGCTCTGGTGTGGTTTGCTTCTTCTTTCCTATCAAACATCTATCTTCCTTATT